TGGGCTCTGTTTATAGTTTTATTACAATTTATCTAAAAAAAATCTTAGACCTTTTTGAAAGCAAAATTCAATAATTTTCTGTAAAGAACACTGCAGAATGCTAGTTGTTTTTTAGTTTTCTGTATTCTTGTTTCTCTTTTCGGAGCATGGGTATATGCCAAGACTCTAACTGCTGAGAGTAGTAATAGCTATTGAAGTAGTGAAGTGAAATAATGAAGTTGAGAAGGAATGTATGACTCTTGAAATACAAATTTGAAAGTAAGTCCTCCTTTCAGTAAAAAAAAAATGATTTCTTAGAGGAGTTGCATATATAAAATTTAAAAAGGTTTGTTGAGAATCATATTTGTATAAATTTAATTTGTGATTAAATCTAAAGATCTCATGTGTTATCCTAGGTGATACATGAATTGTTTCTCTAATTACTCAAGATACTCATTTATTAAAACCAAAAATAGATGTGAATCCTACTACTTCCTAAGGTCTTTGGTTCCAAGGTGCATGCCTATGAAATAATTCCTATTTATATTGAGGTAAAATTTTGCCTCTCTAAAACATCAACATTGTGCTTAATAGTTATCTCTGAGTATCACAGAGAAAGCCTTCCACTCAAGTTATCAGAAGATAACTTCAAGTATTCTGAAGCAATCATTACATGCCCTCTTAAGGGTCTCTTTTCAGCTTAAAAACTCCAGTTACTTCGATCATTCTTTCATTGTTTCTAACGACCCAGGCCATTATTCCCATCATTTTATCTAGTTTTCCATGAACTTCTTGAAGTGTGATAATTAGAACTGAACATTGTCGTGAATATGAATTAATCAGCTCTTATTGTTCACAATTTTAATAAATATTTAATGAGCACCTGCTGTAAATGAGCCATTGTCATAAGCACTAGTGGCTTGACAAGGCAGATGTAGTTCTTCCTTGTCTTAGGAGGCTTTCAGTCAAAGATGGTAACCATATTAACGTTAAATTACAACTGTTGCAAGTTTAAAATCAAAAACATAGATCAAATATTTATCACTGAACATCACAGGTCAAATATTTCTTGTTGGACATCATAGTTATATTTTTTAAATCTGAAGTCACTCTGGTAGATTTAATATCCATGTTTATGATTTATAGTAATTTTAATAAAACTAATGATCATGTATGTTTTCGCATGACTGGCTAAACAGATCAATCAGATAAGGCTAAATTTCTCAAAATCAAGAAGAAAAGAAAAGCCTAAATGTAAAGGGATGATTTAACAGCTCTGTATCTTTGATAACATGTAACTTGCAAAACTAAAGCATATGTTTAAGGAGAAATCTAAAGCCAGAAAGTATATACTTAAAAAAGAATTTTCTTTTTCCTTGAAATGCTTTGCAGATAATGTACGACTAAATGAAAAATCAGAAGCCTAGGTATCAATTCAGATGGTTCAGACCAAATGAATTATTATCCTTGCAACTCAAAACCTTTATCAGAAATACAGAACTTAAAATCTTCCTTTCCCTTTTCTTATCATCACAAACATTAAACACCTCACGATGTTTTAAAAATAGCATAACATAAAAATGCTTTGAAAAAATAAGCCTGAATCTAAAGATATTCATTTACTTTTTCAGAAAAAGAAGATAAATTTTGACTATAGCCACTGATGGAATAATAGTATTGTACTGACTTAATCATCATAAATAAAATGAAAATGTGGCATCATACTCAGAAAGTGTGTAGCCATGATCCTTGTAAAAGGAAAATATAGTTCTACGTTTGCCTCAGGGTCCTTTACAGGTATACCTGTTAGACTGAGTCATGGAGATGTAGAAATAATCACAGGTTAACAGTATTTTTGAGCAGATGAACTGAGGTCAAGAAGACTTTGGACTGCCAGTATGGCTAAAATTTATAAAATGTAATATTAGGAGATATATACCAAGAAGGAGGGCCAGAAAACATCATAGCACACCTCTTTAATCTTTCATGAAAAACTCAGTTTTACTTTCATAGTAGGAGATATCATGGGGTTTGAAAGAGATCTCAAAAGATGAATGTAATCTAAATGAAAACTCAAAAAAAATTTTTTGTAATCAGCTGGAGTAGATGAAGCTCACTAAGAAAAAAGGGGCTTTCACTTTATACTTCCCAAATACCTGGTTTTAGGAGTATTGTCAGTGTATCCAATTTTTTATTAAAAAATAAAGAAGGAGATTAAGATAAAAGAGGACATAACAACATAATAATGCAGGTCAGTACAGAGCAATTTAGGTAACATAGTGTTTCACCTCAAGATAACCTGTCATAACAGTAGCTAACATAGTGTCTCTTTCCTTGAAATATTTGAGTATAACTTCATATATTATAGCATCAAACAGAACATGACAGTGTAAAACCATTCAAGAGAATGAAAGTATTATAGGGTATTTAGAACCAACTATCAGAAAATGAACAATGGTTTCTATATTATCTTCTTGCCTATAAAAAATTTTGTTTATACTATCACATATAATAAAATCCAATAAGATATAACATGATAAACTCATGGAGACAGAAGAAAAGCTTCATGAGACTTCAAAACAAGATGATATTAAATCAGCACTAGCTATTATGTCTTATTTTCTTCAAAATAACTGTTCGTACCATCACAGGCAATAAAATCAAACAACTCACAATAAAACCACCCCCATTAATGAATGAAAACATTAGAGGGCTTCAAAGCAATATAATGGGGAATCATGATTACCACATACTTTTATGTATTCTTATTACTCCTTACACTAGGGAAACTATTCGGTATTTATACATGTGAGTTTGATTTATTTCATTTATGAGTATGATCTCAAGCTGCGCCCAATTATTTATAAACATCTCAATGTGATCATTCTTTATAGCTGAGTAGTTCTGCAGTTCTCCTCTACCAAGCCTGGCTACCGTGGTGGTTAGACCCAGCTGATCTTGGACTGACACCCATGTTATCATGAAACAAATAAGCCCTTCCTCTTTGCAGTTTCTCCTCTCTGGTAAATGATCACAGCAACCAGAAGAGTAGTGATGTATTTCTCTTCCTTCTTTTGGGACCCTCCTGCTTTCCCACAAGGATGGGCTCTCAGGAGAGGAAACCTAGCTGGAAGTAGAATGAGATGCAGTAGGTACCATTTAGGGGGCTGCCCCCCCCCCCAGACCATGAAGCTCTTCGGTTTTGGACAGATCACTTCCAGTGTGCTTACAAATCCTGTATCTGATTGCCTCTTATCCTGACAACCTATAGGGCAAGTCAGTACTACAGCCAGGAACTTGCTCTATGACCCAGGCCAAACTCTTGGTCATTTTCAAACTTGACGTCTTCCCTGGGAAAAGTGTAGGGGTCACATGAATGTGTAATGGATATTAGGCTGCAAATCACATTTAGAATTCTCTGGATCTGGCTTTTTCTCGAGCTTGCCAGTTGGCCCTGTTTGGATTTCAAGAGGCAATAACATGCAGACTTATGAACTATACTGTTGAGAGTAATCGTCCTGTTTGCAGGGTTGCTTCCTCTTGGATCTATATACACTGGACCTCATGGGACTTCCCCAGGCCTATGACCTGAAAGCCAGGCTGGGGAGAGACCTGGAATGAGGCCTCGGTAAGCAGCTCAGTCTGTTAGGTCTCCCTTCCTCCAGGCTGGTAACGGCACTGGGTGAACATGAACTTTCTGAGTCCTGCAGTCTTTGACACCCACCTGCCACTTTGTCTCCTTCCTTGCTAAAACTACTGCAGTTGTTCTCTTCCTCCTTACCCTGCTGCATCTTGGAATGGTTCTTATGCAAATAGCCATGCCCAGAGGAAAGGCTGGTGACCTCAGGCAAGGCTGATGTGACCCTCAGAGTTGTCCTGCATTCAGACCTGCAAGTTCCACCCTGGCTGCAACTCTCGAGAGCAAGGCTGGCAGAAGCAGCACACAGCCATTGCTGTCATCAAGACTGAAGTAAGAGAGTCAGGGCAGAGCAGGAAATTGGGGATAGTGCAGATTCCCATGCAGCCTCCATCAGGCAGAGCAAGGGATCACAAGACCAATTCGACTTTTACTCATCAAGAAACCCAAGGGAAACAAGTTCTAACACCTTTGAACCCAGGGCTACCTACCACCTCCAGCATTGCCATACTATGGCAAGTTTCTTCCGAGAAACATACTATGGCAAGTATCTTCCAAAGATAGCTTTGCTGTCTTTCTGTGGCTTATTGCTGGCCATTGTTGAGTTTGGACTGGAACGTAGCATACCTTGTCTGGTCCTTAAGGCACTTCTGTTGGACCAGAGTTTGCCCAGGCACTTACGGAGGATGCTGGGAGAACAATGGCCAGCTTGCTGTGTGGTTGGTAGGGCCATTGAGGGCTCCCAATTGTAACAAGCTAGGGTCTCACTGAAGGGACTCTGCATGTCCTCATGTATATCCCACAAGGCAGGGAGGGGACTCTCCAGCATGTCAAGTGGGATTTCTGTGAACTGTTCTTGAACTGTCTGAGGATAATCTTCAACAGCAATTCCAACTTTAGCAATTAAGTTGGTCCTGGAGTCCCAGGAGACTGTGCTGATAAAGGTAGGAAAATCAGGAAGTGAGGTTAGGGCCTTACCTTTGTGGACCATTGTGGGTGTGGGGGCCTGTGAGTGTTGCTCCCACCTGCGCCTTCTCCAAGATTTTTTTTTTTTAATTTAAGGAGAAAAGAAAAAAAAAAAAAAAAAAAAACAGTGAAGGGGTACAAGTTATACAGATTTACAGAAGAAAAAAATGCGCAGTAGGAAATCACTAGTTAATGGATTACATATTGCCATCTTAGAAATAATTGTTCAAGTCACAAAATTAAAGCTTGTAGAGTGGACATTCCAACAATGATACTGCAAACAGTTCTGTTCAATAATCCAATAAGACTCTGTGATATCATTTTCTATCTTATATCCTTAAATATACATGCAGTTATATAGTTTAGAGCACTTTATTTTCCTCTCTTTTGTACAATGACTATTACACATTTTGGGTTTCATTGCTCCCACGGTTCTTATGTGTGCTTCAAGTAACAGGCTAGTTTTGTTGTCCAGGAAGAGAAGCTCCTGAGAAGTATCCACGGGGATTTCCTGGCCCTTGGAAAGTGCTGGGTTTCCAGATTTTGTACGCTTATTGCACATGGGCAAGATGTGAGTGGCTTCAAGCCAGGATTTTTGCACACAAATAGGAAGTAGGCCCTCACGCAGTTGCCTCAACTTCCTGATCAGATGTTCTTGCAGGTGTTCTTGGTCAAGACTACTGATCTTGTAAATTTCTAAGTCATTCTTCTCAGGGCTCTTGAAGTCACTTTCTGAATACTTGCTATCATCTTCCTGAACATTCTGGGAGGTCTTTCCTAAACACTGCAATTGATCTTCTGACTCTTGCTCTAGACCATCGCTTACATCTTGTAGTTGGAAGGAAATCAAGCCTTTCTTTAAAAGACTGTCAGAGCACCAGGGCTTTGTCTCCTGCACACTGCTGCTGCCTATAGAAGCAGGTGTTGAGGGCTGTGTGGGCACTAGCTTCTGCCCTGTCTGGCTCTTAAAATACTCAGGAAAGCCAGTAGTTAACTTAGGGGTCTGGGTGGGCTGGCTGCTCCGAGGAAGGTTGTGAGGTGGCTGACCAGTGGTTTTTTGAGCTTTTTGGGGTAGAAAAGGTAAAACTACCCTCTGTTTCAGTAAGGACCATTGCAGATACTTATTTTCCGTTGGGATGACATACTGTCGCCTCAGCTGGAATGTAGCAATATTTGTGGTACACACCCTAATGCAGGATGGGGAACATGTTAGCTTTTGGAAAGAGCATGGAATTTGGGCTTGAATCTGGCTCTGCGACAGAGATGGAGATACAAATTGTGTCAAAAGTTGGTGTTGATTGTTACTGAACAAAAAGGTCATATTTGGAGGTAATTGTGGAAGTACATCAGCCTGAAATTGTGGCAGGAATTTGGTATGAATCACAGGAAATTTGAAGTTTTGAGGTTGTGAGGAAAAAGGCCTATTAGAGGCCCAGATAGTAGCCTCTAAGAACTCCCTATACACACACAGTAGACTCCAACAGAGCTGGCTATATCGTTGATCTAAATGATTCTCTGAGCCCATGATAGAGCTGCTGAGAGCCTACAAGCCATTGTTGGTTCCAGGAGGATTGTGTCATGGTGCTGTGCATGTTGTCAGTGATCTGAATATGACTCACAGCAATTTTAGGGAGTATCCTAGACTCACTAGGATACTCACTAGTTATTTTCAGTTTGTAAGTGACAATCCTCAATAGGAAGTTGTTGATGTCAAACTGGGTAAGGCTCAGGCTCTGACACTCTCCTGGGGAGCCACGATCTCCCCAGCAAAAAAACTCTGGTAGACTGTGTGTATAACATCCTTCCTGGAATTTTCCATGTGCCCAAATGAAGAAAAATAAGGTGTTTGTAGTTGCACATGACCAACAGAAGAACACAATGAGAAACTGGTAGTGGTCGGGGCCAGAGATGGCCCTGATGGAAGATGACAAGTAGGAGTTATCAAGTTGTCCAAGATGGGAAGTCTGTGGGACAGTGCCCAGTAGGAATCTTATCAAGTTGTTGTGAGCTCCTACTGTTAGGGTTGAAGTCAGAGGCAGAGGATTCAGGGTCCCGGGAGCCAGGAAAGCCTGCAGGCACATGGTACTAGGAGATGGATCTTCCACGCTGTGCCTGGATGGTTGGTGGGCTCTGGCAAACCCAGGTGTGAACACCTCACCTAAGATGGCTCCACTTGAGTACTGCTGAAATCTTCCCTGGGCACACAACTCCTGTAGCTGGCTGTAAGAAACAGAAGGCACAGGCTTTAACCATAAGCAGACTGAGCCAGGAGGCTGGGCATGGATGGGCAGGAATAGGCATTTGTGTCCCACAGCCATCCTACTGTTCCCCCAACTTCAGAAAGCCCTTCCTCAAGAGTTTTAATAGCAAGCCACTGTAGCCAGGAGTCTTTCCTCTGCCCCTGAACCCAGTTCCTCCAGTGCTATGTGATAAGAAGGAGGACCCAGAAGTAGAAAGTCTCTCACCATCGTAGAAGTTCAGCTGGGTTCTGAGGTGCCATGATTTCATTCAGGCTATCCCAGCCACGAATAGAAACTGGGTCATGACACAGGCGAGAGATTCGTGAGTAAGATGTTCCTAAGAGGACATCACAGAAGATTAGAACTAGAGACCAATCCAATGTCCAAGGCCACATGTCCCCTGAGAAAAGGCACAGGGAGGAGCCTCCACATCCACCAACCCCAAGGGCCCCAGAGCCCCCTTTGGGAAGAAGAAAGGAAAAGTCTACTCTAGTGAAGGGAGGCAGCTGTCCACAGTTGGAACAGGAAGTCCCCTCCAAATTCAGGCAGAACTGCTCCATCGCCACTTACACTGTCTCCTGTCGTACATCCCCCAACCCTCTGGCCAGTCACAACTTCATTACAAGCCTGAGAAATACTCTCCATTCACATTTCCTTCCCATGAGCCTCCCTCTCAGGCCCCCCACCTCCATCGCCCACCCTCCAACACCCCCCCCCAGTCGTCAGAGGTGTGGCTCTGATAGCTCAGGGACAGGTGAGCGCAAGGACTGAGTCTTACCTTTCAGAGCACGGCTCTGCTTTTTGCTCTTGATCCATCTCTTCTGCCTGTGTTGCTGTGAGACAAAAAAGAAAGAGTAGCTTTGGCCCCGTTCCCCTGTTCGTTTCCCTAGACTCTTCAGACCAATTCCTAAACAGTGTAGTTTTCTACTTTTCGCAAACAGCTCATTTCTAAAGTGACTAAAAATATTTTCTGTTTTCCTCCTTTGAAAATTACAATAGACTTTCTCTGTGAGGTCTACCAGTGGAGTCTTCAGTCCGGGTCCTCTGCTCAGGAAGCACAAGCTGTTTCCTTGTGCCTCTCTGTCAGGTATGATTCTGCCCCTGAAGCCAGAGCTAAATCCAGTGCTTGGTAGAGTCCCTCAGGGGCTCACTTTGCCCCTCAGATCAGAGTGGCGGGCCCAGAGGCACCTGCTATGGAGCAGGAACTGATGAACAGGTGTGAACCTGTCCTTTCTAGAGGTCCTCAGCTCTCCTGGGATCTACCCTCAACCACAAGTCACAGTGTTTGACTTTAACTCAGCACCTTCTGTATACACACACGGTGTCTGAGAGTCTCACCCCTCTGTGATCTGTCCCTAAAGAATGGGGTCCTAATCTTTCCTGAGTTTCCCCCATCATAAGTTTCTCTATTTGATTTAGGAAAGTGGAAAGAATAGAAAAAAAATGGCAGAATCACTAGTTGTTGGGGTAACCAAGTGTCTCTTACCTCTTTGATGTTCTTTTTCCCAGTTAATGGAGTAGACTGAATAATCCGGATATGAGAAATTAATAGGCTGAAGTGCACCACTCCATACCCGAAGGCAAGAGTAAGATCTGTTGCCCAGGTAGTGGAAATGGGGCTCTTCCATGTGTCTTGAAAGCATTTTAAAAGTAAGAGAAATTTCATCGTTGTCTGAACTGCACTGTTACCCAAAGGCAACTGAGCTCTGAAGGTTCCCTGGGAGACCAGGGGGTGGGGCCAGGGTCAAGTCATAGAACTCTGGGCTCCTCATCACAATGGGCTCCTGGGGTGGGGGAAGGGCAACTGTCAAAATGGCTCAGCCACATTGCCCTCCTTCCCCCCTAGCCTCAACACAATCTGTACCTGCCAGGGGAGTCAGACCCCTCTTTCCACCATCTATGTAACCTGGCAGGGTCTCCCCTTGAACTCAGGCATTGCTGCTTCCTTGAGGACGTCTGCCTGAGCTGTACTGCTTTCATAGAAACAGAAAATGTGGCATTGTCTCTGACATGTTGGTATTTCTCAGAAATTACCACACTCAGGAACTACTGATTCTGCAATTCCAACTTTCTCTCTAGCCTTGCATAAACTCGGATAGAACTAAAATTTCGTTTATCATTTTGAGTTTTGAATACTATTTTTATATCATTTTTAAATTCATTATCCAGCCTTCAGGTAGTGATTCTTGACCCTTTCTCAGAAAACAACTTACATTAGCGCATTATTGCAAATTTACAAGATGAAATAAGTATAAGAATGAAATCATATTTTTCTAAGGTTCTAGTGTTTTTGTTACTGAAATGAATGAAAAATACATTATAGAAATTCAGGGACATTTTACACATGTACACACACACATCTGTTCTTCAATAAATCTAATAACGAACATTTCTTGCCATTCAAATTCTTTCATTTCAAATATTTGCCATTCAAAGGTAAAGTGCTACTGCTGGCAGCAAATTACCTCAGGTGTGTTGGTCTGAATATGTTTACTGTGTCCTCATTATTAAAGGACAGATTTTCGGAGATGGAGTTATTTGTTGAAGTTATTTTCCCATTAACCTCTTTGAGTAATGTTACCTGATCACCTTCGTCCCACTATTTCTGAATACAAGTCAGTAATTAACCTGGTTCAGTCTCCTAGAATACAAAGAAAACATTTTCTCTGCTGCTTTTAAGATTTTCAGACTTTACACACAGTTTGATTGTGCTGTGTCTGGGAATTAATGCCTTTTTATTTTAAGAGAGGAAATTTGTAAACTAAGTTTACATCAGATGTGTGAGTTTTCAACCATTATTTCCTTTAGTATTTTTGTTTCTCCTTTTCTCTGCTTTCTGAGTCTGTCTTTCCTTGTGTGTTTGGTCTGTTTGCTGGGGAGGGTATCTGGGTATCACAGCATCATTTGTTCACTGTGTTACTTTCTTTTCTCTCTAGTACGGAGCAGCTGGTCATGTTATGTGGGTCCATTTCCCTTCCATGGATGTACCTGTCAGTTTTCTCTTTCATCTCTGTGTCTTGATCACCATTGCTTTATGGAGACTCTTGAAGGGGTGTTCTGTTAGTTCTCCTACTATATTCTTTTGACTATTTTGTGTCCTTGACTTATGAACTTTAAAAGCAGATTTCTGGTACTTATTGGGCAATTTTCTGGGAATTTGTTGGGATATCACTCTAAATAGCAAGTTGAAAGAGTTTAAAATTAATTTAAATGTAAATAAATCCTCACTTATATTTCTTCTTGATTCATTCACATTCAGTGTGGAGAGTAAAGTTGTCCAGGGCAGTCACGAAAAGGATTCAGATAAGAAAAAAGTGAAGCCATTTATATGTTTTCTGCTATGAAAGATTAAGAATTGTAGAAAAGTACTCTGATCACCTTGCGTCTACTTTTCTAGTTTTGTTAATACTTTTAGTACTTCTTTTAGCAAGGACTTTTGTATTTGGAAAATTTTATCAAATTTTGACAGGTTTTTTTGATACTATTTGATGTCACTTTATTATTGTGACATGATTTTTTTCAGGAAGAGTTTAGTTTTCCGTGCTGTGCCTTTCTTTTTTTTGTTGTTGTGTTTATTTTTAATAACATGTTTGTAGCACATAATGAACAAGTGTCTCATGGAAAATTCTTTATGTACATAACCTGTATCACTTCTTTTTCATCCCATCACTGTCTCCTTCCTCCCCACACCCTCCTTCTCTTGGGTCCCTTCCCATTTGCATAAAATCTGTCTCCGTACTCCCATTATCTATCTTTATTTTGCTCTTTATGTGTATTTTGGTTTCTCCTATAAGAGAACCCATATGACATTTAAACGTGTGTGTTAACACCACAAGAAAATGGAAAAATGTCTTCAAAATCCTGGTAGTGGAATTGCTGGACTCAGTATTCTGTGTCCTATGAAATTGTCAGCTATGAAAGAAAAAGTAAAGGTATGTTTGAAAGAAAAATAAATTCAGGCTGGCACTTACCGGGTAACCTAAATCCAAGCAGAATGTAATGAAGAACAATTACTTGAGTAAATGCTTTAATTAAAAATGAATATGATTTTAGTGGCACAGTGAAGCCATAAATGCCACCT